CCAAATTTTTTTTACCCGTATCAGTCATCCTATAATCAACTAATCAATTTTTTCAACCTTCGATTTGTAACACTACCAAAAATGATATTGACAGAAAACTCTCGAATAGGCCATTTGCTCTTCTTATAATGCCAAAGACCCATATATTATGATTTTTATGATACCGGTTCAGAAAGTTGCAGGCAAATTTGTCTGTCAAACGGTGTAAGGGATAAATTACATAAGTTATTCATGTCCTAAGATTTATTCCTATTATGCCATTCGTTTCTTTCCTCTTGCATCACCTGCCTATATGTTTTACTCTTTAACACTTGTTCTCTCCTTTATTATTGACTTTTTCCTACTCATACAACGTTTTACAAGATAGCATATTAAAATTTATTAAATACAAGTTTGTTTAAGAATGACGAAGTAAAGGTTCGATCGTACACCAATTGAATTCCTGCTTATTTATTTCTTGATTACTCAACATTACATTACTAACCCATCAAAGTAGATTTTAAATTACTTAACAGTTCATCATTACGATCAACGTCACCACGATTCAAATCAGAAATTACATTGTTTTTATCCATTCCTGCAACACACCATTCGGCATATGTTCTAATTAATCTTGGATACTCCAATGAATACATAAAAAAAAACATCCATCAGATAAACGGATATCCATTGAATGATCTTATATGATTCATAGGTGAGAATAAAATTATTTGCATTGCATTTAACTCATGAAATAACTAATAATACAATTAACGATTATAAAAAAATTTAATTGTGAAAAATGTGCGTTTGCAGCAAATAACACGAGTAATGTGTGATATTAGGTATGTATGTGATTTTGATATAATATTTTGAGATGGACAGAGATTGATGATTACATGAGAGTTTCATAGATTAAACTGGGTTAATTTAAACAAGAAAATTAAATTCTATCGTTATATAAATTATAATCTTGCATAGTCTATCTTAAGTGTAGACCACAAAGATTACAAAGGTCACAAAGGTCACAAGCGAATTAAATAGAACTTATCTATTTGCTTAAAAAAAAATGATAATAATACAGTCAATCATTAACATAACGGAAGTCTGGGAAGCTCAGTTATAAAGTGAATCCGGTGTAAGGTAGTGTTACAAATCGAAGGTTGAAAAAATTGATTAGTTGATTATAGGATGACTGATACGGGTAAAAAAAATTTGG